TTGCATTTTTGAATTTCAATTCTGAAGTCTTACTCTTTCCATCTTCAAACCTCCCTCGCTTTCTTGCATTATATAACGTGTGTGTGTTTATTGTGCGCGCGCATAGTGTGTTGAGGATGGGAGGGGCAGAGCTTCTTGATTAGCCAATGAAACAAAACAGTGGGAAAACTTGTTTATTCAATTTTTGATAATTACTAAAGCTATCGAAGACTGCTAAATTAACATTCTTAGTTAGATGCTTGAAGTTTGCAAACATGTTTTAAAGAAGTTGCCATTGTGTATTATTGTGATTTTAGGAAAACATGTTCAGAGGTTTGCGCTTTTCATAAAGTTGTTGTTAGCTTAATATTGCTTTATTGGACATTTCTTTGTGCCAATGCCTCCATTGCCTCCTTTGGTTCCTCTTACAGTGGGATTCTTTCTCTGGTATCTTCTAGTAGAACTTTAAATTTACCTCCCTAAGCTGTTGTCTATCTTAGTGGCTTTGTCCGTAAATGAAGTAAATTGTACCTTATTACTTGATACAAAAAAATACAGGAGTCGCTAGCCCAGTTGATGACGAGATGGTGCTCAGAAACGACGACGTAATTTAGGACGTGGATTCGTAAGCGGCACACTGTTTGCATAAAGAGCGAGTTGGTATTTATATACTTTTCTTTTGTAATGACTGTTGTGAGCTATGTTTGTCTTAAAAAGCTCTTAATGGTTTGACCAGGTAGAAGCAGAAGTTGTGGGTTTGTCAACCTGTAGATCTACTGTGTGCCCAGTACTGTTTAATTTTTAAGTTGTTTGTTTTGACAGATGGTGATAAGTTTTCCCACTGATGAATAAAGTTTTTTTGTCTCTTTGAAAATACAATATTAACTCTTGGCTTTTAAGAACTGCAATTGGAATGAGAGTCTCTGATTTAAAACAAGCTTCGTAATTTGGAGGCTGACATCAAGCTCTGTCCGTGTTCAGAAGAAATGGTGTGGGAGAACTTTTTGCCAAAGTTCTCCAAAATAAGGAGGGAATGAGATAAGCAAAATTTTATTTGGAAGTCACGTTGAATGTAATATCCTGTCTACTCTACACCAAAACTGAGAAGCTGTTCTATAATCAAAGTATTAGTCAATATTTGCTATGTTTACTTTTAAAACGCTCGGCCCAACAAAATAGCATAAGAGATTGTAATAACATTAATCTGGCAATGAGTGTCATTACTAGTTTCTGGCTCCCTCACCCCAAAACAGGTTTTGTTATTTGTCAAAAAAGAAGACTGGAGTAATGTTCGATGTCTTTGCTTTGTTTGCAGGATTGGTCGAGGTGGTCGTTTTGGCAGGAAAGGTGTGGCTATAAATTTTGTCACTGAGGAGGACAAGCGGATCCTTCGGGATATTGAGACTTTCTACAATACTACAGTGGAGGAAATGCCTATGAATGTGGCTGACCTCATTTAATCCCTGGGATGAGATGTTTTTGGAATGCAGTGCTCGCTGTTGCTGACCAGGCGATCCACAACGTGCATTGTGCTTCTTGGGGGATACATTGAATCTTGTCTCAATGCTCATTACGGATCAGAAATACAGATTTTTGATAAGCAAAGCGACATTTTGTCGTGAGCTTTTGTGGGGGAGAGCCATTGGCTTTCTCCTCTTTAGGGTTTAGACTGTTGGGGTTGGGTGGAAAGTCATGGGGTCTGTACATTTTTTCTTTATTAGAAATTTATTTCCTAGTTCTGTAGAAGTGGTAGTGCTAGATGTTCTTTATCATTTAATAATTTACTTATGGACTAAAAGATATAAGTGCTGTATAAAATCAGCCAATTATGTTAAACTAGCATACCTACCTTTATTGTATGTTATAATCCTATATTAGAGTAAATTGGAAAGGCCTTTCAAAATGACTAATCTTTTATAAGAACATAAAAATGCATTTTTTGTTTGGTATGTATTTATTGAATAAAGTATTTAATTAGTGTTAAGTGTGATCTGGACCCTGTTGCTAAACCCTGCAATCATTACTATTGTCTTAGTTAGGGTTTAAACCCATTAAATTGCCATATTGCACATGTCTTAATGAAGTTTGAATGTTCAATAAAATATTATATATTCACTTCATTGGATGAACTGGATGCTTTTTGGAAATTGGCAGTGCAGTTCTGGGTTTCCGTTTTCAATCTTTATACAAGACTGCCAGGTATGCAAGTGTGCCACATTCAACTGTACATAATAGTAGCAAATTATTGATTTGTGTTCTACTGTCTAGTGAAGCTAGTGGTACATGTAGCCTTCATAAATCATGCCAGTCATTAAGCAGTCATCAAATGATTTAAATGTATATAAATAGCTGTAAATGCTGGCATAGCAGAGGGCAGCCATCACGGCTTCAAAACCAGGTAGTAAGTAACTCTGGGGAGATAGGTTGTAACTTTGATCAGCCACTAAGTGACCAGGCATCAGTCAAGGACTAACTACCTAATGTTGAGTGAATTCACCATCTTCAGTTGTATTAGCACATAGGTCATCTACAGATAGTAGATAAGTAATGGAGATCTTGTTCAAGCTGATACCAAACTGCTATTTCATCAGTACTATAGAGTAATTAGACAAACCAATCTTGGGGTATTGTGTCCTAATTGTTGACCACTTTAATTACAAATTTATTTTGTCTACTTAAGAATGCCTAGGAGACCTAAGGCTTTGCTTTTTCTGCTTAAAAATAAATTATTTTAAGTTGAGTTGGAGGACGCTAAAGACCAAGCTTATTATTACTCTGTACTAATGCAAAGTTTGACTTGCCTGAGTGGTAGAGAAATGTATGGAACATCTCCAATTTTCATAAACCCAGGAGCACTTTGAGCAATATGTTTATTCAGGTTAGTGGAAAACTATTGGCCAGGTTGCCAATCTTGTTTCACTATTTTTCCTATTGCTGTTCCTAAGTTTTATCACTACATTCTGTTTAAAAGCTGTCAAGACTGCTGAAATGTTGACTATAAAATTGTGTTCAATGCTTAAGGTGTGGTTTATTTAATTGAAAACTTAAAAGTGGTCTAAAAATTTAAGTTAACCTAAATTTCAAATGATCAGAAGCATGCCTTTACAATTAACAGGCCCTACCCTTTTGTGCTGGAAGAGTGATGTCATAGTGGGAGGAGAGCATGATGGGTTACATCAGGCATGCAGTATCAGTTTCTATCATTCTATTTTTGCTTTGGTTTAGCCCAATATGTAGTTTGCATTGATTTGATTTTTAAGATGGGCAACTATTACAAACATAAAACTGGAAGTTGAAATACAAAAATTCAGAAGGGTTGGAAATGACAATACTGCAGCAAAACAAGCTTGCATTCTGGATACAGAAAAGAATCTCCAAAGAAAATGAGAAATCAAGCAGTTGTTATATAGGGGAGGGTGTGTGCAGACAAAGGCCAGCTGTGTTACATGTGGTCAAGTTTTGGCAAAACTAGAGATTCTCAATCATCCAGGTCATGGTTGTCCCAAAGATGCTTTTTCAGGAGGCAGCTGGATTTTTTCTTTTGTAGACATTTTGCTTCTCATCCAAGATGCTGCTTCATCTCTGACTGGATAGTGGGGAATGGAAGGATTTATATTCCTTGTAGACAGCTGGTCATTTGCATCCTTTTAGAGCAGGGCTGTCAAACTCCAGCTAGGCTGGATCACATGCTGGCCACACCCACACCTGGTTTAGTGAAGGGGCGGAAAAGTCCTGATATGTCACATGATGCCGTGGAAATACGAGTTTGACACCACTCTTAAGAGGATCGGTGAAGCACTTGGAGGTTTCTCTGTTCTCTGGGTCACCCGAGTAGTAGTGCTGGTTGAGTTTTGGCAGGATTAAAATCTGAAGAGATGTCTGAGGATGACTAACACAACTGGTGCTTTCTAGTTAACATGGATTTAAACTTACCTTGCATCTTCCATTCATCTTTAACATAAAGCATCCTTGTTTCTAAAACAAGTTAGGTATGTTTAAATATTTTATGATCTGGTGCATTTCTTAATTTCTTTCATGTCTTTAGACTACTAAAACCAAAATTTAAATACTTTTTTTTTTTTCAATTTCAAGAAAATGACAATTTTTTAAAAAAGTATTTACCAATTTTATCAGATGTTCCAGAAATTTGATGGGGGCCTCATTTAAATTTAAGGCTTTAGGATTAGGTTTTATAGGATGAGGGACCACTGTGATGTAGCCTCAGAAAATGACCTAAGCCAGCAATTCTCAAAGTTGTCTGGGGACAGCTGAAGATCCAAAGTCAAATATTTTAAGTTTGTCAATTTTTAATACTGTAAGCATCAAATACCAATATTATCCACATAAATCATTTTAATAATGTAATGGGGACCTGTAGCAAAAAATCTTGAAATCTAAAGCCATATATTCTGGGTGTATCCAATTACATGTGTTTGTTCAAGTCTGTGCCTTTGTCTATGTTGACTCATGGCAAGTACAGTTTTCCTGGGAAGAAGTCAGAAGTGGTTTGCCATTTCCTAGGGCTGAATGTGTGTGACTGGCCCAAGGTCACTCAGCTGGCTTTTGTGCCTAAAGGTGGGACTAAAACAGTCTCTAAGCTAATGCCTTTAGTCAACTATATCAAATTGGCTGTATTGTAATAATATGATCACTTAACCGTAGCTTCTGTTTTAACAAGAGAGATGGTTTTGTGTGAGGGGCAGGACCACATGCGCACATCTTCATTTGTGTGAGCAGAAGTGCATGGCCACCACCCACACTAGCACCTGCCACTTGTGTGTGTGACTTGGGCTGTCTGTGCACACCGGCATGGTTGTGAATAGGCCACGGCCTGGTAGTGAACTGCGGTCCATAGATTGGGGACCCCTGTTTTAACATACTATGTAAACACCCTGATCACCAGATGGCTTGTATAATGTATGTATGTATGTATGTATAGCAGAAAAAAGCTTTGATTCTTCCTTTCCTCAGTAGCTTCGACCTGAACCAGAAAAGCTAAAATGAAAGCGACAAGATGAAAATCCATAGCAAAGTCTATATTTACAGAACAGTTTGCAAACTGTGTGCCAAAACTGCAGAGAAAAGGTCAGTGACGGCCATCAAAAGGCCACTTATCCCCTACAGTTAGCTATTCTGAATTAGCTGCTGCATCATGACTGCACAGACGCTGATCAACTGCAAGAACTCATCAGAACCATCTGCCAAGCACTTGTCTGCTTCCTGCAAAACAAAACAAAACATTCAAGATTTGCCAAGTTTGGTAACAATCATACCTGGCATAAAGCAAAACATTTTAGCAGATATATTTCCTCTTCCCTTGCAAGATGTATCTAACTTTTTTTTTATTCTAGGGGAGAATAAAATTAAACCGCCTGTCTAATATTCATTAATATACAGGCGGTCCTTGTTTAACAACTACTCATTCAACGACCTTGCAACATAGCAAATTTTAAAACTACTGAAGCATTTTTTTAGCCATTTTTTCAGGCAATTGTCCTTTTAGTTGCCAGTACAGAAAAATCTGCTGACCCAACCTTTTCCAACTTGTACCCCCCCAGATTTAGTTAGGTTATACCTACTAAAATTTCCAGCTAATGTGGAAAGGTCTACAACAACTTGCCACAGCCATCTGGCCACAGGATACACTAATATTGAAGAAATGGCCAACTAGAATAATTAAGAAAAGATGCCAAAGAAGGGACAAAATAAAATGTGAATGACAAAAATTAAAATATTTTAAATATTATTTTAAATAATTGAATTGTCCTGCAGTGAGTTGTTCCACCGTGAGTTGGCTGCGGCAAATTGGCCAAAGTGAGTTGATTGTGATGAGTTGTCCCATTCTGACATGAAAATGGCCCAATGCACCTGGAGATATCAGGCTGAAGATGGTTGAATTATCTATTTGTTGTTTTGGCAAGAATATTAGCTTCTATTAAATATTTCTCTAAATGCATAGATAAATTATACTTCTATTTTTTGTTCTTGTTACTACCAAGTAGCCAAAGAGCACAGGAAAGTTGGTGAAGTTACAACCCTCCACCATGGAACAATTTGTGAAACTGTTTACCATACTGATTCTTTATGACTATTTACTTACTTTTATTTATATATCACATTTAGAAACCACCCATCTCTGTCTTACTGTGTGTGATTTCTAAAATACAACTTCCCACAAGTCCTTAATGTTTCATATTCATTTTTAACCACATATTTCATTAGCCTCTGAGAGAGCTTGAATGCAAGTACTTAAGACTTACAGCAAATTTCTCTATAATTACAGATTTTTGCTTGTCATTGAGGTCTTCTTTGTCAACGATGATATCATGAAGCTGATTTATCAGTTGAGTAGCTGCATAGCCTTCACTGATCACATTCTATAAGCAAGAACAAATAAGAAGGACTAGTATTAATAGGTGGATGTTATTATTGACTTAAGACTAAATAATTTAATATCGGTTTAAAACCTAGTGAAAGTACTTCCAATCCTATATAGTAAGGGGATCCTCGGTGGTCTCCGAATTTGGATAATGAAAAGTCTGCAAGAAAACAACCAAACTAAGTCAAATCATCAGTCCTGGTAAGGAGTGAGGTTTGCTTTCAATTTATATTCCTGTCAGTGTTGATAGGAGTGGGTGTTGGTGGTTCTTTGGTTAGGGTTAGGCTGTTCGTTTGTTGTAGTTTGGCTGTTTACTGTTGACTTGTTTGGCAGTTCCTTTATTGGGGTATTATTTACTTGATTGTTTGTCTGATGTTAATCTATGCTCATCTAGGTGCTGATTGCTGGTCCTATATAGTATAAAGCCAGGAGATACTAAGTTCAATTATTAATTCCTTACTAGGATAAAGTTGCCCATAGACTTGCTTGAAATATTACAAGTGAGCACTATTATGTAGAAGTTGAAACTGAGCAACAGCCAGTGAAATAGACCATTTCATTAAACTTATTTATTTATTTATTTATTGGTTCGATTTATATGCTGCCCTTCTCCGGAGACTCAGGGCGGTTTAAAATGTGTTAAGCAATAGCCTTCATACTTTTGTATATACCTGCTTAGTAGGGCTTTCGCTCCCCCCTAAGCGGTGTTCGTTTTATACAAAGTCAGCTTTTTGCCCCCACAATCCGAGTCCTCATTTTACCTACTTTGAAAGGATGGAAAGTCAACCTTGAGCCTGGTGAGATTTGAATTTGCAGTAATTGCAGGCAGTTGGTGCTACTTAACAGCACTTTAGTCTGCTGTGCCACCAAACTCTCTGCCTCCCAGAGATCATTCAAGGTGGCAAATACTTGAGATTTTATTCATTTACTCAGACCTCAAGTTCCTAAATGCCAACTTGATTCCTTCTTGTGATAATGGAATGTTGCACCTCCATGCTGGTTTTACCAAGTCAACTGAGAGCTCAACTCAGCAGGGTTCTGCTCACCAGACTGCATTCCAGGAAGAGCCAAGCTATGCCATCCTCCCAGCATCCCCAAAATCCAGGTTTAGAGATAGCAAAGTTCTACTACACTACAAGAAGACCCTGTCCGTGGTCATTCTTCTGCATTCTGCCCCCCTAAAAAGATCCACCTTTGCCAGTATGCCTTGCCACCTTGAATGATCTCTGGGAGGCAGAGAGTTTGGTGGCGCAGCAGACTAAAGTGCTGTTAAGTAGCACCAACTGCCTGCAATTACTGCAAATTCAAATCTCACCAGGCTCAAGGTTGACTGAGCCTTGCTCAGCCAGACATCCCCTGAAGCCAGTGTCTTTTTCAGGAAAAGCAAAGCTTGCTAGCCAGCCAATGTAGCTGCCTCTTCTGACATCCACCCAAATCAGAAGCAACAGACCACAAGCCTAGGGCAACCAGAAATTACAAATGAAATGGTACCTATAGTTTTTGAAAGTTTGCTTTTAAAATAGAGCAGCACACATTCCATCGGGTTATTTGTTGGTCCCAACAAGGGGAGATGATTTTATATTGTTCAACACTACTACTGCGCTATTGTTTAATAAGAATATTTAAGAATAAATCAGATAATTGGATTAGTAACATCTGAGTTAACCAGAAGCCTTACTTGGCAGGAATAAACATGAAGGTGTTACTGGCACTGGCCTATGAACAAAGTACTAAGAAGGTACCAATCTTGTAACATTAACTGTTAAAGGAGACTCTACAGCAGGGGTGTCAAACTCAAGGCCAGGGGGCCAGGTCCGTCCCGCAGGGTGCTTAGATCTGGCCCGCAAGAGCACCCTGGAAACAGCGAAGGACCAGCCCACTGTGCCTCTGCCAGTGAACACGGAGCTTTTGATGGCCATGTGAGCCCATTTTCGCTGGCAGAGAGTTGCAGCAGGCCATCCCAGTTGAAAACGGAGCTTGGGAACCTGTTTTTGCTGGTAGAGTGCTCGGGCCGCTACAGGCGGCCTGCTGGCCACGCCCACCCTGGCCACCCCCCACTCCCCCCCGCGAGGTCAAACACAACCCTAATGCGGCCCTCAATGAAATCGAGTTTGACACCACTGCTCTACAGGGAAGCTTTTCCCTTTCAGTTTAACAATCTGCAGACAAGCAGGAGTATAGACACTTGCTCTATTTTTAAAGTGAAATTTAAATCTTCCTCAATGTTCCTGCAGAGGCTGAGGGATTGCTCTTGCAAACAGAGGAACAATCTATTCTAGTGATGAATTTACTTAGCTCCAAGGCAGATCACTGCTTATTCTTACAGTGTGTGAAAAATTGCTACCACTGCCAACATAATTACAGAATCTGAGACAACAGTGATACAAAGAGGGAGGGGGTGTGTCAAGACTTCCAACTATATATGGAAAGTAAATTGCTCCCATAAGGATATAGAATTTGCTTTGGGGGGAAATTCACAAATTCTTGTTCAAAGCAGGAATCATATCTGCAGTGTCTCAGAAAATACCTGCTTAGGAAAATCACTTCTCTTCCTCCTCCCTTCGACCTACATGAGCTACGCAGCTATTTTGAGCCGGTGGATTTTATATCAAATTTTGAATACTAAAGTTAACAGAGGCACTGCATGGTGGGGGGAGGGTATGTTTGCTCATTCATAAAATGTGAGTTGTAAAACATACCACCTGTCACAACTACCCATTTCTCAGAAAACAAATTCCTGAAGCTTTATAATATATATATATATATTCCCCAAATATGGGTCCAAGGCAGAGATGAATCTCCAAAATGCAATGCTACCCCTTTGAACCTAGCTTTCTATCCCAAAAGCCCATTTCACAAAAAAATAAATGGATGAATACAAAACAGATTTATCCAAGAAACTAAATATATGACTGACTGAGAGATTTCAAACTCGATTGCTAAATACCACATTTGTTCCTTAAGAGCACAACACTCACTGTACCAAACACAAACTAGGAATGATTACAGAACACAGGTGGTCCTCGACTTATGATCACAGTTGGGCCCAAAATTTATGTTGCTAAGCTTAATTGCTAAGAGGCAGTTATTAAGTGAGTTTTGCCCCATATTACGACCTCTGTCACACTGTTAAGTGAATCACTGCAGATAAGTCAGTAATTGACTTTGCTTCTCAGGTCGTCAAAGGTGATCACATGACCTCGGGACACTGCAACCATCATAAATATCAATCAGTTGCCAAGAGTCTGAATTTGGATCATGTGACCACAGGGAAGCTGCAGCAGCCATGTGCTGCATTGGTCGTAAGTATGAGAAACAGTTGTAAGTCACTTTTTCAGTGCCGTTGTAACCTAACAGTCACTAAACAAATAGTTCTAAGTCGAGGACTACCTGTACCCCGATACAAGCAAGAAAACACCTACTCACACCAAGCACACCAGGGCTATGCTGTGCTTTTCTTTCAAAGGGAATTTGGAGCATGTGGGGAGACTGAATTAGCATTTGCCAGCAACTCTACAGCACAATCCTGGAATAGGGCAATGTGGTTTAGGAGAATGACAGGGGCTACATGTATACATAATATACATACTCCAAAGCAGTTTCCCCTTTGGTTCTAAAATCGTTTATAACCTTATGACTCATCAAACAATTCACTCACACATACATTTTACACAGAGGAAAAAAAAATATCCCAAGCCAATCTTGGGTACAGAGACACAAAGCAAAAATATCAGCTAGCTCAAGAAAAGAAAAAGAAAATAGAGACACCTCTCTAATTTTGTCTTATCATAGCTCCTTAAAGTAGACCAGGAGAAAAATATGTAAGAGTGGGAAACATGGAGCACAACACACAAACGTCCCAAATTTTCATGTACTTTTAGTGCCCGCCACCTTGAATTGTTCAAAAAGACATGCTGAAGCTGAACATTAGTCAAGCTGAACATAACATATCCTTACTGTACAAAGGGAGTTAGAAAGTTAATTAATTCTAGGAAGTTATACTTCTCCTCTTAGGAGCTCTATTCTACCTAAGGTCATAAGCCAAATAAATGTCAGGCAGTTCATGTTACATTGACACAAGATTAGTTTAAAGGCAGGCGGTTTTTAGTTTCAGTGTGATTACGCAATTGTACTATGTACCGCCTACCAGCATAGAAAAGAGCGTCCTATAATACAAAATCCTACTTGCTGTATCTCATTCAAATCTTAAGAAACACACCTTTGTTACAGCTTCCAGCTTTTCAAAAGAGCCACTCTGACAGGCACTTAGCAGTCCATCCAATATTTCTTTGGGGACAACCTAGAATATAAAGTTGTAGAAATAAAACATAGATACATTATCCATCTCCTATCACACAAAACTGTTTCTTTTTATGTGAATCACCAGGACAATAAGAAAATACAGATAGGCAAGCAAAAATCCTATGGTCACAAGCAGTATAGTCTTTTCAGCCCAGGTTTTTCCAAAAATGAGAAACGCAGCCAGCATTCTTGATTTTGCATACATATATGCCCATCGCGCTATTCCCTTTTAGGGTAAGCAATGTTAGGCAGAAGTGGGAAAGGAGTATCAGCAAGACAGAGAAAGTGAAGGCATGAGCTGAGAGAAAAAGAAAAGGAAATCATGGTTAAATCTACTTTATACGAAACCATTCACTATATCTATCCATATTTTTTCTATTCTTCATCCTTGCTTCCAGCATATCCATAGACAATTTACCCGACTCTGCCTTCTGTACTTGATCACTCGCATTTACTTGATCCTGCATCATCTAGCTTACCTTATGCCAATATTTGTAACATTTATCTCAATTTCATTTTCAACCTACCACAATCATTCCTATACAGCAGGTGTCAGCCCTGGAGGCCATCTTTCTCTTTGGATCTTCAGGGCTGCTACATTTAGTGCATAGGCCTGCTGTGGGAAACTGGGGGGGAGGGGGGTTGTATGGAGTGGGTAGAGATAAGATAGCCAAAATAACATTCTTTTCTCTGAGAGTCAAGGACGTTCAGCCTGCACCTGGAAAGGCGTAACTTGGAAACATCTTTAGTTGGGACGGTGGATTGATTGGACCATGTGATGGACTTGTGGGTGCAGGGGAAGGGACTGTGACTTTCCTTTGGGTGGAGAAAACCCGGGGTACTTTTGGATTCGGGTTTTCCCAGATGTGCCAATATGACATCTCTAATAAAATGGAACTTTAAGGAACTGATAGCCTCAGAATCTTATTCGGTTGGGGGTGTTACTTGGAACCCTGACAGCAGGGCTGTCAAACTTGCGGCCCGCGGGCCATATGTGTCACGCGCTGGCCAGGACGACACCCGGTTTAGCGAAGGGGGGAAAAAGTTTTGATACATCACGTGACACCGCAAGTTTGACACCCCTGCTATACAGGTATTCCTCGGTTGAAACCACATCACCAGCACCATTTGAGCCATGGTGGTGCAGTGGTTAGAATGCAGTATTACTGTTGTGGTCCGCCAGCAGCCTGCGGAGCTGGCAGCGGAGTCAGACAGTGAGGAGGCTGGGGAGGACAATGGGCCAGTCCTAAAGTCAGGGGAAGGCCCCGACGAGGGCTCTGTGTTGGAGGCAGAGATGGGGCCAGGACCATCTGGGAGCGATGCACGGACTCCGGAGCCTCCAGAGACGGATAGCAGAGAGGCAGAGGAACAGGAGGAGCCTGTTCCTAGTGCACGCATGCGAAGAGCTGCCAGAAGGCAAGAGCAGCTAAAGCAAAAAGGACGATTTAGGAGTAAGGCCAGGAGATGATTGGCCACTCCCATAAGGCTTAAAAGAGCAACAACAGCTCTTGGGATCTTTGTAGGAAAGCAACGTTGCTATATTTGTTTCTTGTCGGCATCTCTTGCTTCTGAACTTTTGCCAAGAAAAACTTTTGGCAGGGTGCCAAAGGAGACAAAGGTTGGTGATAAGGCCTAAAGACTGTTTATGAAAAATTTGCTTTGGACTTAATTTGGACTAAACTGAGAATGAAGTAATTCTCAGCTGTTCTAATAAAATATGTTTGTTTAGGACTGATTGTGTCTGGTAATAACTACTTGGGCCTAGGTCACAACAATTACAGGATAATTCTGCTGACTGCCAGGAGTTCCATCCTGACTGGCTCAAGGTTGACTCAGCATTCCATCCTACAAAGGTCAGTAAAATAAGGACCCAGATTGTCGGGAGCAAAATGCTAACTCTGTAAATCACTTAGGGCTGTAAGGCACTGTGAAGTGGTATATAAGTCTAAGTATTATTGCTATTCTGTTACAACAATGCTGAGCAAGTGGTACTTACAACCGGCCTTTGAATTTCTGGATATCCCAGCACTCCTGAGGCCATGTAATTGTGATAAGGCAACTGCCTCACAATTACTGCAGTTGAAGTGTCACGTGGCAAGTGACCACCATTTGCAAGCTTCCTTGTCACAAGCAAAATCAATGGGGAAGCTGGCAGGGAAGATTGCAAGTCACTCTGATAAATCTTCTGCACTTGGCAGCAGCCACCTGTACCTTGCCACACTTCTGCAGCCCTTGGCACCCCCTCCAGCAGCAGCAACCAAAGCCCTGCCCCACTGCACCTGCCCTGCACACGCCCTCCTGGGCCCTGAAACAGCCACCCCAAGTCCCACCACATTCACACCATACTGATCTCCCATACACTCCCAAGCAATTTTTGTCTATATCCACATTACTGGAAATATAGAAAAGAGCCAGGTTGAAAGCAATAAACATTAAATGGGAAATACATGTGATAAATCAAAAGAGTGACCTAAAAATGATTTTTTGACGGCTCTATCAGAGATTTGTTAAAACCTTGAAGAAATTGGTACGAAGAAGAATTGAAGAGAAATCCAATCCTATGACAATATTTGGATTAAATTTGTTTCAAATAAAAGAATATTTAATATTTATTCCTATTTAAAGTAGGAAATTTATTTATTTATTTATTTATTTATTTATTTATTTATTTATTTATTTATTTATTTATTTATTTATTTATTTATTTATTTATTTATTATATTTCTATACCGCCTTTCTCCCGTAGGACTCAAGGCAGTGTACAGTCAAGAAAAATATAGACACACAAACATCATAAAATTGCTAATTAAAATTGTTACTTAGTTTGGTCAAATCACTTCTTTATGTATTTCTTCTTTTTATTCTATATTCTTTTTTCTTGCATTCTTTCCTATTCTCTTCTTTTTCTCTAAGTTTAGTTCACATTAGTTTTTACAACTATAATTAAAATTCTTAATACAAATTATGGCAAGAAAAAAAATGTCTCTCTTCCACACAAAACTCCCAGAGCATTATTCTAGGCAAGTCTTTAAAAATAAGTGTGCAGCTTCTGAAGGTATGTCTTTAATGAAAAAAAATCACAATTTTGAATCATCACTTTTTACAACACTTTTACAACAGCAAATACGTCATCTCAAATCAAGGCTTACCCCTGCAATTTCAATAACAATTTTCTCTGTCACTTCTTTTCCGCCTGTCAATCGTGTAGCACTCTGAAGAAGTGTGATTGCTTTCCTCAAATCTCCTTCTGCCACATGAACAAGGTAATCGATTGCCTGTATAACACAATAAATATTGAAAATAAAAGAAACACAAAAGAAATCGTATGCAGAAAAGGAAAACAATGAATACCATTTTGCAAAGCACACTTTTTAGCATCTTATACTTAAATTTCAGCTTGTTAATAATCTGTGGTGGAACCAGGATGTAACAGTAACAGTAACAGAGTTGGAAGGGACATTGGAGGTCATCTAGTCCAATCCCCTGCTCACGCAGACCTATACTAGGGAGTCGAATCACCAATCTTTCTGATCGACAAGCTCAGCGTCTTAGCCACTGAGCCACCTAGGGAGCTGGATGGAAGTGGAGCTTCCATAGTTACTCTCCTTGAGCTCTAACGGCTTTTGAAATTGCCAATTATGATATCCTTTTGAGCTAGCTCAAAAGGCCAGGGGTTAGGAATAAATCACAATTTTATGGAGATTTTCCTTCCTTTGGGGATAGTTTCAGTCAGTCAGGTGGGACTGTTGAGGTTGTCTGGAGATTATGCAGGTATGGTGTGGGAGGAACTATCAACTTAATCCTACCAAGACTGAGTGGTGTGGAAGTTTGGGCTACCTAGATTTGGGGATAGTCTATCTTTAACCTTGGATTGCAGAACAAATCCACATTCAAAAGTGATGCACACTTCAGGAGCGCTCCCACACTCTCAGCTCCTGCTCAATTAGCAGGTGGCAGCTATGCCAAGGAAGGCCTTTGCCCAGCTTCATCTGGTACACCTGTGTTGTCCTTTCCTAAATCAAGAGGCCCTTCAGACATCACTCATGCCCTGGTCAGCTCACAGCTTGATTATTACAATGCACTTTGCAGGGGGCTGTGCTTCAAGATAAGCACCTGGAAGCTTCAATGAGGCCTAGAATGAAGTCACATAGGCAGTGATGGACATATTTCAGTATGCCTATGTGATACCTCTGCTTTGTGAGATGCACTGGCTGCCTGGTTTGCTCCCAGGTGCAATTCAAAGTGCTGGTTATGACCTATAAAGTCCTATATGATTATTTTAGGAATTGCCTGTTTCATGTGATGTCAGCCTGGCTGGTTGATTCCGACAGTTGGCATGCTCCAGATTCACTTGAGAAACCATCCATCAGGACCCCGGAAGACTGTCTTCTCTGACTCAAGTGTTTGTCCACTGAAGGGAGGTCCCCCTGAGATCCAGGTGCTTACCACCCTGATGGCATTCTGGTGGGTCTTAAAAGACTTGGCTGATGTCCCAGGGCTTTGGGCTAAGTAGTTGGAGTCCCTTTTTGGGTGTGTGATATGTTTGTTTGACTGGATCTTTCATCAGTTTATTGCTGTTTTTAATCTGGACTGTATATTTGTTGTTTTTATGCAGGAAAGGCAGGGCAGGGCAGGGCAGGGCAGGGCAGGGCAGGGCAGGGCAGGGGCAGGGCAGGGCAGGGCAAGGAAGGAAAGAAGGAAGAAGGGCAGGAAGGAAGGAAGGAAGGAAGGAAGGAAGGAGGAAGGAAAGAAGGAAGGAAGGAAGGAAGGAAGGAAGGAAGGAAGGAAGGAAGGAAGTTTCATTGTAGTGAGCCACAGGCAGTTCAATCCACATTAGTGGGTTATGCATTTCTTTTGGAGATACGGGTGGGAAGGGCATGTTAAACTTCTATTGAATTTCAATGATTGGAATGCAAAGTCCAAATTGTAGGACTGTTTATGTACAATCTCCCAGTATTACATTTAAGTTCATCTTCCCAATCCTGGCAATTTGGAGTTAGTATCAATAAAATTAGAGATTCCATTTTGGAAGGACTGTTCTAAGTCTAATCTATCTCCATTCCTTACAAAAGACTGACAGCCTGTTTCAGGCTCTCAGATGAAAGAACACACAATTAAACTTTATAGGTTGTATTTAATTCAGCAGAGGTTTCTTTTCCTCTGTCCAAGGGGATTCTCCAATTCTGTGCTACAGAACTAAGCTGTGTGCAGAAACCTTCGGGAGGTGGGACATGGAATTCCATTCACAAGTGTTACTTCTTTGACAAGCAAAAAAACCATTGATGAATACTACCTTTTGTTCACAATATTATGACAAAGAATTTTATAATTAATTGGCATGTTACCTCATTGCTGATCATCACGTTTTCCTTTTCAGCAATGTCTAGAAGTCTCTGGCGTTGGGTTTTGTCAGAAAGTGGCTTGAAACGAAATTTGGAGCATCGAGATGTAATCGGTTCAATGATTCTATCAAAGACAGGAAGAAAAACTCAGTAACCAGAGGAAACAGAAACACTTTATGTTCTTATTTTCTTACAACAGTTTCTTTCCACAGCATATGAAGGTAAAGGTTTCCTGTCCAGTCGTATCCAACTCTAGGGCATGGTGTTCATCTGTTTCTTAGCCAAGGGAGCCAGCATTGCCCAAATATATTTTTGTGGTTGTGTAGCCAGCATGACTGTATGCCAAAGGCACACAGAACACTGTTAAATTCCCACCAAAGTGGTACCTATTTATCTACTCACATTTGCTTGCTCTCAAACTGCTAGGTTGGCAGGATATACATTTTCACATATTAGAATTGTGTTATCATATTCATTTTTTTCCCGTAAGTAAAACATAATTGTCTTTAAAATTCAAATACATTCTTTGATTTCTTAGACAGATATTTTAACAAACAGAGCTAACCAAATATAGACTCAGAATTTGTGCATGGTCAGACCTGGTTGTTATCTGGATGGGAAAACACCAGGAAATCTCAGGGCTGAAGGCTAGAGTGGGAAGCTGAAAAATCAGCTTTAAAAAAAGCAGTTATAAAAACATTTGTAACATTCCCCAGAAAATCTCAGCAATATTCCCACGATGTTACCAATAGGTGAGTGGACTCCAAGGTGTAGTTACCTAATACATTTTTCATAAGAGTAAATACAAACACATGCTATAATTCATACGCACCGACTGATGTAATTACAGATAAGGCAGAATCGTGTGGTCTTAGACTGCTTCTCCATGGTGCGCCTTAAAGCTGCTTGAGCTGCCGAGGTCATAGAATCTGCCTCATCCAGGATTATGATCTTAAAAGGCGGACATGGTTTGCCGCTAAACACAAACAATCACAAAAGCACGTGTGAGCCATTTATGGTGCTAGCACAAGCAGTGCTTTCAACCGTCTACTGGCAAACACATTCTGGCGTAAACATTGCTTCCCATTCAGAACCTACAGTGGGGAAAAAATTTAAATTGGAACCTTCCCCATTCTGTTCCCCAACTTAACTAAATACTGTTGCACTACATGGAACTCTCTCACTGTTATTCAAAACAGGCCACATTATTTTCTTCTAGGCTTTTTATTTCTCATGGATTCATTTATGGAAAGTGTTGGCATTCACTTTTATGACTTCCTCTAATTTGTCCATACTTAGCAAGGCCAAAGTTTCTGGCCTTTTAGGGGGTAGGTTTTAAGGGCAACATCTGATCCTTGAGCTTTACAGAAGTTTATGGCGTCAATTTCACCTTTAAAACCCTTGAATTGTTTTTCCCCATTTTAGAGAGGGATTTAAGAAATCCCTCTCATTGAAAAGAATGTGATTTTAGCTAAAGTAGTTATTTGTCCTTAAATCCCAGCAAAAAAGAAAAAAAACCAAGCAGAAAAAACAGGCCAAATCAACTCATGCTTTTCCTAAACTCTGCTTTAAATTTTTCAATACATAAACTCGATATGGCTTATATCTTTCCTTTCTGCCTATAGAATATTTAAAGGATTGATACATTAATCTATTTCTTATCATAATCTGATCAATCGAGAGAGAAGTTACCCAAACGGATAGTTGAAGCTGCTATTTTAATTAACTGAAGGACACAATTTAAGGATCTTAATGTATTACATTTCAGTGCCTACACATGTTCTATCGGAGACACTAGCAAAGATATGTACGCTTGGTGAATGATAAATTCCCCTCAGATTATAGTAAAGTTTGGATGACTGACTAAGGCATCATCTGAGAGCCTCATAGTGCAGTTCTGACTCGTAGTTTATTTTAGCATTACAAAGCAACTCATGTTAACCTGAAACAGAGAGAAATACTATCATAGGGAGCTTACTCTGAACGATTTCCCGATACTGTTAATTGGGCAAAAGTCTTGACTTTCTCTCGAATGACTTGTATTCCACGTTCATCAGATGCATTTAATTCAAGGACTCTCTGCCGGAACAATTCAGGACTATTTATAACAAAAGAAATACAAACACTTTTTAATAAACGTCTTAGGCAGAACTGTTAACCCAGGTTCACATTTTGAATTCTCATAAAGTAAACTGCTATAGCAACTTGTCTGTAGTAAAGTACAGGGATATATCTTTTAGTTAAACATCAGTTTAGGCTGGATAGAGAGGAGGGAGTGAAGAAAAACCTGAAGATTGTCCCATTTTTATTCTCTTTAGGGCAGTGGTTCTCAACCTGTGGGTCGCGACCCCTTTGGGGGTCGAACAACCCTTTCACAGGGGTCGCCTAAGACCATCGGAAAACACATATTTTCGAAGGTCTTAGGAATAATTTTATGGTTGGGGGTCATCACAATGCTTAATGCATTGTAAGCCGGCCTGAGTCTCCAGAAAAGGGCGGCATATAAATCGAATCAATCAATCAATCAATCAATAAATAAATAAATAAGGAACTGTATTAAAGAGTCGCAGCATAGGAAGGTTGAGAACCACTGCTTTAGGGGGAAAAGAATCTGTCTGACTTTCAAGATTCCGCTACTGCACACTATAATAATAAAAGAGTAATTAATAGAAAATGAAGAAGCTAAATTGCTCTGGGACTTTAGAATTCAGAGAGACAGGTACCTGCCTATCCAACAACTGTCCATAGGAAAGAAAAAAAAATGGATAGTGGATGTGGCAGTATCTGAAGACAGCAGAATAGAAGAAAAAGATGATAACAAAATATAAAGACGTGCAAATAGAAACAGAATGTGGCAAAAAAAAGCAAAGGAAGTACCAATAGTAATAGACACCCTGGGTGCAATCCCAAAACATCTGGAGCATGACCTGAACACCATCGGCATTGACAAAATCTCCATCAATCAATTGCAAAAGGCAATTTACTCAGAACAGCTTAGGTCCTGCGATGATACCTTTAACACCATGAAACATCCACATCTGCCTATCCCAGGTCACTGCCACCTATGGTTTGAACAGCTGTCTGAGATGAATCATAACGAGAGTTCCTGTGTTCATGCAGTGTCTGTTTCACAAGCTGGTCTATCTTGAAGAGCTGACACTTCCCCATTGTACTATCTTCCAGGTAGGTTGGGATTCAATTGCCCAATTTTTCCCAGAGGGCATGGCTTCCCACTGAAATTCAGGAACTTGCAGTCCTACTACATCTAGAAGCTCAAGTTGTGGAATGCAATTGCAAGAATGTAAATTTTAGCTGATGACAGTTAGCATCAAAATATGTTTCTGCTAATTTCAAAGAAATCTACAGGTAGTCCTCAACTTACAAGTTTGTTTAGTGACTGTTCAAAGTTACAAAGGCAGTGAAAAACATGACTTATGACCGTTTTTCACATTTATGACCATTGCAGCTTCCCCATGATCACATGATCAATATTCAGATGCTTCACAACTGACTCACATTTATGACGGCTGCAGTGTCCCAGGGGGTCATGTGTTTCCCTTTTGAGACCTTCTTAGAAGCAAAGTCAATGGGGAGGCCAGATTCACTTAATAACCATGTGACTAACTTAACAACTGCAAAGATTCACTTAACAACTGTGGCAGGAAAAGTCATAAAAGGGGGCAAAACTCAACAAACGTCTCACTTAGCAACATAAATTTTGGGCTCAATTGTGGTCATAAATCGAGGATACCCTAAAGTTTCAGGTTACTTCTGAGCCAACTTAATGCCTAGGGATTGTTGTGGCTCCGTCCTCCGAGCCTATCTTATCGGAGGGAGAAGGCTCCAAACATGAAGGAGAGGAGTCGGCCAGTCCTCCCTCTCCAGGCCCCTCCTCTCTGGCACAGCCTCAGGTGCCGGCCGAGGAAGAGGAGATTAGCCAGGAGCCAGGTGTCTCCGATGATAGCGATGGAGGCAATCTGTCGTTCCTGGATCCACGCCAACGAAGGCGTGATAAACGATTGCAGCAGTTGAGGAGGCGTGCCAGGTATTAGGCTGAGTCACTGGACCAAACCCCAGATACTATATAAGAGTGTGGTGGCCATTTAAGACTCTGTGACGGACAAAAACTAACTCTGGCTAGTCACTTTGAACAACGCTTAAATCTGCCGAAGGTTTCTTGTTTTGAACTGGACTATTTGCAAACTCTGCCAAAGGTTTCTTGTTTTGAACTGGACTATTTGCAAACTGTGTGTATTTCTGTTTATCTGGTGAAGGGATATTAAGTAAAAAGCACTTGGCAGTCGGTGCTCGTCTTGCTGCCAAGTTTTTGATAACAAACTGCATGCCAAGTGCTTCCTTTAACCCTCGGCTGTGTGTGTGTGTGTGTGTGTGTGTGTGTGTGTGTGTGTGTGTGTGTAGACGGGGACAGAACAGGGATAACCAAGAGCTCTGTAGATACCAGCCTTGATGCTCTCCTGATATTATTAGTTATTTGGAATCTTTAATGAAAATAATACGCAGGGAGCCATCATTTCCCAAATAAAGGATCAAACTCAAGCCTAATCTGAATTTCCGACAATGCTTTGGGGATACATACAGTCTTTGTAGGATTTAGAAAATAAAATAGGGGTGGTTCTTTGGAATTGCACCCTAGGAAAAAAGACAGAGGTGGTAGAGATCATCCTGGTGGACTAGAGAAGCTGGTGAGAAGCAATCTGATCGCTCTGCCTTCTGATAAAGCAGAATTTCCTATGCCCAGCAAAGCAGCTGTTTCACAAGGCTGCTAAAATAGGGTCTCAAAATTCCAAATATGCCCTCTGCTATAACTTGTAATTATATTTACCGTAATTCTGCCCCTCAAGTTCCCACTCCCTTGTGTGTTCCTAAAACAGGACAGAGAAGCATGATTTGAACTACATCTCCCATTTCCCCTGGAGATTTGGCCCCCAGGTTGGGGTTGATGATCCTGGAGTCCAAAACAATGTGTGGTAGCATTCCTATCGCTGTCCTAGATATTGTATTTGCATTCATGTCCACATTTAGGAATTCTTCACCAATCAGCCTTACAAATATACAGCATCTATTTTATTCTTAATTCTGAACAGGACCCATTCTTACTATGTTATAAAATTTCAAGATGTTCATACACACTACTGAGAAGAACAACACATGGATAGAGTCAAATTCAATTTCACTAAACTTCATATTACCCAAAGAGTTCTCTAGCTGCTGCCAAAATAGTAGATGTTTTCCCAGTTCCAGGAGGGCCATAGAACAAGAGGTTGGGAAGCTACAACAGAAAGAAATTTAAAGAATATGATAATACATTTAGTATATACATATTTTCTGTTTTTCATACAACCACAAGAAGCATAAGAAAAAAACGTTAGAAAGAAAAAAAATCTAAAATGTCTATGTATATTTTCTCCACAATGCTGTTGCTATATCTACTCCTTATTCACATACTCACACATTCTTAAATATACAACCATCTATGTTCTAACCTTACCGAAAAGAAAAGCCCAGTGGGTTCAACAGAACCTAATTTCAGGGAAATGTATAAAAGAATTGCAGAATGAACGGCCATATTTTAAACAGGGTTGTTTAAATGACCAATCTATTGTATTTTATTCTTTCCAACAATAAAATTAATGTACCTGCAGACAGCTTATTCCATTCAGAGAAGGTTAGAAATACATGGATATTTACAAATTAAAATTCAAGATAAACATATGGTAAAACTATGGTAAAACTGTGGAAAGCTACATAGAAAGCACATTTCAACAAAATACAGATGCAGTTATTCAAACATGTCTAAATACATGTTGAAAGCATGTTGAAGGCATTCAAGACAATGGTGAAGAGTCAAATAGGTAGTGTAGGTGTGTGTTTAGTGGTCTTTCTTTGAGCAGATATCTATACTGTACCAAGGGATGCTTTCAAAACCCACCAGGTTAAAAAAGACAAAAACAAAAACATAAAAACCCTTAGTACAGGGGCCCCCAACCCATGGTCCATGAACCAGCACTGTCCGTGGCATGCCAGAAACTGGTCCATGCAAACAAGTGAATCCCCATTCGTGGGATACAGGCAGCAGACAAAACCCCCCTCCGGTCCGCGGAAAAACCTCTCTCCACTGAACCGTTCCCTGGTGCCCAAAAGGTTGGGGGCCACTGCCTTAGTATTTTGTAAAAGATACTGGAACCAGAAACCCTTCAACATGCAGAGCAAGTGGCTTGGTTTTGTTTGTTTTTTAATCTCAGCCAGTAAGACTTAATGTTCAAATAATGAATATTTCTAAATATTAGTTGCTTAGTTACAAGAAAAATAAAAGATGAAATATAATTATAAATGAATGAATATTTTTCCCACTTAGCCAGCAAATGTAGTAATGTTTAAATCCAATTTTATAAATATATAAGAAGCAGGATCAAAATAGACCAGCCAGTCAGCTTACATTATACAAGGAGTCAAATTCAAAAGAGAAGCAACAGCATTTTTAAAAATTATTGATATATATATAATTTATAATTACTTTCTTAAGTTGCTATGTAAACAACAAGTAGTAAGAAAACATAAAGAGGGACATAAGACATCATTAACAGAAGCTGTAATCCATAAAGTAGGTTATAAAGTATATTTAGAATTTTTTAGCTGCTGCAAATTTTAATATCTTGCAATATGTAAACCCAATATGTAAACCAAACTTTTAAGAAGTACAGGTAGTCCTTGACTTACAAGTCATGACCAAAGTTACAAAGGCACTGGAAAAAGTGAGTTAAGACCATTTTTCACACTTATAACTGTTGCAGCATCCCCATGGTCACATGATCAAAATTCAGACATTTGGCAACTGCTGCATATTTATGACGGTTGCAGTGGCCCAGACTCATGTGATCCCCTGACAAGCAAAGTTAATGGGGAAGTCAGAGTCACTTAACAACCATGTTACTAACTTAAGAACTGCAGTGATTCACTTAGTATCTGTGGCAAGAAAGGTAGTAAAATGGGATAAAACTCACCTAACAACTGTCTTGCTTAGCAACAGAAATTTTGGGCTAATTGTGATCTTAAGTCAAGGACTACCTGTACTATCACTTGGCACATGTAATATCAATGGCAATGTAACTACCGTATGATAAAAACAAGATACCTGCTGCTTTAATATTTAGGAAACTGGCTCCTTTATTCACAATATGCATCTTTCTTTTTTTTTTCTTTTTGGTTTTAAAAAACAAACTTTATTAAACATTTAAAAATGAAATGCTACATATATATATATACACACACAAAACACATATATATCCATATAAACAACACTACATAAAAAGAAAAAGTGACATTAGTCACATATCCATTGTCTTATTGATGGTGCTTTTTTTAAAAAAAAATTGTTATCATTCAGAATTTTACATTTGCCTTCATTTCTCCAATTTATCCAATCATACCATCTATTCCATGTTATATAATATTTTGTGTCTACCTTATCTTTCAATTCGAATGTTAATTTATCCATTTCCACACAATTATAGATTTTAACTCAATTTTGGAAAACTGATCAACTGCCAACAGAACTGCTGATAATCCAAAAAATCACAATATGCTTCTTTCAACAGTTAAGGGTATACTTGACTGTAGAATTTTGATAAAACAATGAAGACTTGGCAATAGTACAAATTTTTCCCATCTTCATTTAATTTCCACATGAAACAATTATTTTAATGACTGCCACACTCACATCAACTCCCTGTAAGGATTTCTTCAGTACTGCAACAACTTCCTCTTGAAATGCAACTTCATCCATGCATTTTGGTCGGCTAGATATTTAAAAATGAACACTGCATTAAATGCTGTACTAATTACTCTTTAAAAATCAAAATGAAAATTATGATTACAGCATCTTCACTGCTCCATCACTGGAAGTTTTCAAGAAGAGATTGAACAGCCATTTGTCTGAAATAGCATAGGGCCGTGATGGCGAACGTATGGCACGTGTGCCAGAGATGGCACGCAGAGCCCTCTCTGCTGGCACGCGCGCCAGTGCCCCAGGTCCGAACGACGAAACAGAAGCTCACAAAAGAAAAAGATCTTATCTCTTGCTGCTCTGCCAGTGTTGGGATGCCCTGCCTCCCGCCGGCCAGTTGATCTTCAAGTCTCTGCTGCACATGCACACACATGTCCATTCGCACATGTGCACATTTTGCGCATGTCTGCATATGCACACACATTTCCATGCATGTGCATTTGCACATGTCCATGTATGCACACATTCACGCATAGCTGTGCATGTGCACCTTTCAGTTTGGGCATATGCGCACGCAGTTTGGGCATTCGGTGTCTAAAAGTTTCGCCATCACTGGTATAGGATCTCCTGCGGGGGTTGGACTAGAAGACCTCCAAGGTCCTTTCCAACTCTGTTATTCTGTTATTCTTTAGATCAAAGACCTTTGCACCTCTTTTATTGCTTAGAAGTCTGAGCAAGTAGCTGCCACAATAACAGGATCTAAATTCCAGCCATTAATAGTCTTAATAAGATGAAGGCAATCAATGATAAATTACTGGGGGGAAATTAAAATTATGCAAATATATAGCTATTGTTATAATAACAGTCATTACACATAAGTGTATTATTTATCCTTCACACTGTGGGGGAAAAAATCAGGTATCAGCAATACTGCCTCCTGGGGAGACTGGGTTAGTCTCCATATCATCAGATAAAGGATTAACTTCAATACTGACTGAGCTTCCATATAATCTTTTCCAATCTCCTTAGGTGGTCCAGTGAGCACATATGGTAGTGTCATTTCAGGTAATGACTGAATAATGCAAAAGTCTAAATATGTTTTAAAAGAACAAGGTGATGAAGTGAAACACAACATTGTACTGAACCGGCTTATATTTTCTGTTGAACAGTAACACTGGAAATAAATACAAACAAAGCACTGTAGCGTATCATTGCAGGCTCTCCACCCTGCTGTATAAGTTCCCTCCTTAGCCATCTTTGTTAATTTTAATGTTAATATTTATTGTTTTGTTTTATATTATCATTTTTATCTTTTTGTGCGCCACCTAGAGTCGCTTGATGGTGAGATGAGCGGCATATAAATTTAATAAACTCCCCTAACAATACAAACATGGGCCAAAATCACTTTGGACTAGCATGAATATATTTATCAATAGGTATGTAAGTCCAATTAAATGCCAAAGATTAACCAAGGAGAGACACAGAAAAAGCAGAGAGATCTGGTTATTACAATCAAAAAACTAATTTGAAACATCCTCATTCCCCAGCAGTTCAAGTCTGCACATTCATCCTCAGCAATTACATTACTCAGATTCCAAACCAGAGCAAAACTCTTACTATTTTTCGACCCAAGGAATGGGTCTGACTTTCTTGCTCTCCCCACTGCTTCCTGCAGTTGCAGCAGCTCCCCGTTCTTTAGTAGAGAGAGGTTTAGCACTGACTGGACCTTTCAGAAATGCCTGCATTGTTGCAACCTGTAGAGGGAAGAATGGGAAAGGATTAGACCTGTGTTACTGTTTGTCTTGAAAAATTATAGCATAGGTAGTCTTTGACTTCAATCAAAATTGGGACCAGAATTTCCATTGCTAAAAGCAAGGCACTGTTTAAGTAAGTCACACTTGATTTTACAACTTTATAATTATGAGAATCATTGTTAAATGTATCACACAGTCATTAAGCAAAACCAGCTCTCCCCCTTGACTTTGCTGGGAAGGTTGCAAATAGAGATCATCTGATCATGGGATGCTGCAACCATCATAAATATATGCTAGTTGCCCATCCCCCAATTTTGTTCATATGATCATGGGGATGATGTAACAGTAGTTAACTGTGAGGACTGGTCATAAATCTTTTTTTTTTTCAGTAACTTTGAATGGTTACTAAACTAATGGTTTTACATCAAGGACTACCTGCATTGCAACTGCTCCTATAACACAACAGTTCCATTTTACTCTGTGTACTCACCAACTGTCTAGGACCAATGGGGAATCACATCCAGCAACAGAGATTAGAGACTACTAAATACTAATACACATTTAGAGAATAGGGGGCCAATTACCATCACACACTAACCTGAGAATATTTAAAGAAAAATACACAGAATTCCAAAACATCAATCCAAAGACACATGTAATTCGACCAGCTTGCTTTCATTCAGTCCAAATACATACTGGTAGTAGGAGGTAAACCTTGTTAGTGTATAGTAGCCAAAAATCAGAAATATGGTAGCACTTTTTCTGACAAATAAATATTATTAACAGACATCAGGATTTTTTGGGGGGGGGGGTTGCAGCTCACTTCATCAGATGAATAGAATGGCTAAACTCATGTAGCTATTCCTTAAAGACTTCCTTAAATAAGGAAGTGGGAAAAGACAGATTGCTTAGGCAGATTTCACATGAAACAAATCTGGAATACCTTAACCAGAACCATCATAACACATTAAAACATCCATTGTGTTTTTTTTAACCTTCTGAAACTGGCTAAAATCTTCTGGGTTATGCGAGTTCAGCAACCTCTGACTCATGTATGCAGTAGAAGTGTCTTTTTTTCCAAAATGGTCGCTCGAGATCTGCACCAGGAGGGACTTCTCAGGGGGCAAAAGCAGGGCAAATAAAGTCACTTTGGTGCAGTTACCTCTACCCGTAAACCCGCGCAGCTCATAAAATCAGTCAAAAAAGGTGCTACCAGTTTCATTCTGTCTCAAAGGTGCTTTTTTTTTCAAGAGGCATCTGGACTTTTTGGTTTTTCTTTTGAAGACATTTTGCTTCTCATCCAAGAAGCTTCTTCAGCTCTGGATGAGAAGCGAAATGTCTTCAAAAGAAAAACCCAGAAAGTCCAGATGCCTCTTGGGAAAAAAAAAAAAGCACCTTTGGGACAACTCTGACCTGGATGACTGAGAATCCCCATAGACATCCTGGTCTCTGGCTCTGTCTTCTAACAGAACGTGTCATAGACTAGAATAACAGAGTTGGAAGGGTCTTCTAGTCCAACCCCCTGTTTAGGCAGGAAACCCTGTACCATTGCAGACAAATGGTTGTCCAATCTCTACTTAAAAACCTCCAGTAACGGATCACCCACAATTTCTGGAGGCAAGTCGTTCCACTGGTTAATTGTTCTGTCAGGAAATCCCTCCTTAGTTCTTCTAGGCTGCTTTTTTCCTTGATGAGTTTCCACCCATGGCTTCTTCTCTCATGCTTTCCCTCAGTCGAAGGCCCTGTTCACACAACAGGCCAGTGGGGTTGGTGAGCACCTCGTGGCCTTCTTTCTAATCACTTGCGCGAACCAGCGTCGCCCCTCCCCCGACCATTAAACTTTCGCAGAAATCCCTCCCGGTTGCAACCTGAACCCGCGTGTATCGTGTCGTGTGAACGAGGTCCTTCCAGAGGCGCCCAACTTCCCTGGAAGGACAGAAGGGGCGGGGCGGGGGGCGGAGCCACCGCAAAGAACAGGCTCAGAGACAAGAGAGCGGCCGAGTCCACAGCGGTGGGCCCATTTTCTAGCTTAAAATGTACGCGGGGAAGACAGAATACCGGGGCCCATCGTCCCCAGCCGCTTCCCGAGAAGCACTTGAGAAACGCCGGCGGGTTCTCCCCTCAGCGCGCCCCTTACCTTTCAATTCCCGCCAAAAGCAGCCTTATTTCCGCCGCCCCAAAGGCGGGGCCACTTCCGGAGGTGCTCTAGGGGAGCTAATGCACCATAGAGAAGGCACCGTGCTCAGGACCGAAATCAGAAGCTAGCGTCATGACGTATCACGCCATAAATTATGTCATTTACTGCACTGACGTCACCTAGGAAAAAAAAAGGCCCGGTTTGCAATCTAGAGGTAGTGCGCATGTGTGGAACTGCAGCTCCTCCCTTCGCCTCACCACCACCACCATTAGGACACAGGTGCGGGTCAGCAAAGGTCATATGCGAGAGATGCGCGAGCGCACCTTGGTTTCCTCCGTCCTGTGTTAGTGATGTCAGGCTTCCCGCTAAAAAAAAAAAATAATAAAGCAAAAACGCAATTGCGCAAGCGTAATGAGGACTTTCGGGGTGTGGCTTCTACCATTCCTAAGAAGCGTGACGTTAACTTGAATATCTGTCAGAATTCAAATGTGCAGTTTCTCAGGAAACTTTAGCACAGATATATGTAAGAACCATATGCTCCCACACAGTGACGCCCACCAGTGTCATAAACCAAACCCAGTATCACTGGAAGCTTCTCTGCTATAGCTTTGTATGAAATCGTACATTATAAATTACACTCATTTAACCACCACTTGATTTAATTCATTAGTAAATAAAGAGTCTCGATTTGTTTACTTAACAAGACCAATGGATGCAAAATGACTGACTCCGAAACCATTCCTCTAAATTACATCGGTTTTATATATCTTATACTAATGATTAGATAAAGACCTTATGGCTATTGCACACACAGCATGATGAACTTGATAACAGTTAAATTTGCTTTTTGTAACTTGACATGCCCTAATTTATATATGTGCCCTAATGTGTATAAAAACTACATACATACCGTGCTTACAAACCATATAGAAACTAATTAAATAAAAAAATAGCCCAGCCCTTTGTTAGTTTATGATTGGGCACACTGGGCAAACTCGGAAAATGGATTAATCCAATAAGCCCACAAAGCAATATACAATATATGAAATATAAAGTAATATTGAAATAATAAAAGCAATATTGACTAAAGAAAACAGTTAAATTGAAATTAAAAACAGCAATAACTGATTAAATGTTGTACAGAGGAGATTCACCTTAAGTGGTTTCTGGGATATTAAAAGGGATGATGCAAGCCATAATTCCAAGAGAAGTTGTCCAGAGCAGTATAGCAGCTTTAAGATGTGTGGGCTTAAACCCCAGAAATCTTACTCCCACCCATCTTAAAGCTGCTGAAATTGAGAAAAACTGACATATAGAGCACATTCTGGGGAAAAGAAAATGGACTGCAACCACCTAGACCAATTGCAGTTTTTGAGTAGTCTTCAAAGGAAGACTCATGGAGAATGCACTGCGGTAGTCAAGCAGGAAAATGATGAAACAAGATGTCCGTCCTTAGAAATCAATAATGTCAGCAATAGGTTTTCCTTGGCATTCCCCCCCAAAACCGTTGGAACCACAGGGCCCAAAATTCTTTATATTCTAGCAAGGAATTTGTATAGCCCCAACACTTATACCGTAACTAAGATGTCAGGTCTGGAGGCATTCAAGAAGGACTCAATCAAATGATTTTAAACTACCCTGCTAGCTTGCATGGTAGACTGGACAAGGTTCTCTAAATGAAATGTTTTGCACCTGTATTACTGAGCAAACAAGTGAAAGTGCAATCCCACAATTCAGCCAGACAATAGACGTATTGTTGGAAAAGGAACTCTATGATTGCGCAAAGTTGACCCCAGACTGAGTGTCTATAGCAACAACAGTTGATCAAAAGCAGCCTGCAAACTCAAATAACATCATTTCTGAAAAGGAAAAGCTGTAATTCAGTTTGGGGCAATTTGAAATGTTTTTATTCCTATTATTGGACAAAAGGGCAGTGTTCTGTATTGAATTAGGCCATTCTGCTTAAAGGGCAACAAAGTGTCACTGTTATTTATACCTTTCTAGATTTTGAAAATTAAGATCTCTAAAAGTTTGGTTTTTACATTATCAAGTATAGGTGGACCCCTTAAAGGGGTGAAATTCAGCAGATTCTGGAGAACCGGTAGTGGAAATTTTGAGTAGTTCGGAGAACCGGCAAATTGCAGTATCCTTTCCCTGGAGTGGGGTGGGAATGGAGATTTTGCAGTATAGTTCCCCTGGAGTGAGGTGGGAATGGAGATTTTGCAGTATCCTTCCCCTGCCATGCCCACCAAGCCACGCCCACCAAGCCATGCCCACAGAACCCGTAGTAAAAAAAATTGAATTTCACCACTGACCCCTTTTCATCATTACAACTTAATCCAGGAGTTTTTTATTTCCCAGTTCTTCTGAAATTATACTTCTTTTGTTGACAAGTGATAAAATTAAACAGTTAGATTACATTAAATAAATCAATTAAATAATTCTAAGTATGATACAGCTTCAGTGGAGAGGGGAAAAGTCATCTATTAAAAGCCATTTACTACATGATAGGACCCAATTTTATTCTGCTTTGGTCAGGTTTTAAATGCCGAGTTTGCATCAGGAAGGACTCCCTCCCTTGCTTCTAGCCACATCATAGCCTCTTTCTTCTTACATGTTCTCCCAGTGGCAGCTGTAATAGAAGTCAAAATAGTCAGTTTTCACAATAATTTATGGCTTACTTAGCTTCAAGGTACAATTCAAGCAATTTTATGTGCATTAACTTCTCAGAATTATAGTTAACATTGATGTTAACTTTTCTTTATCTGTAATGGTTTAAGTTGATTGCCTTATTATAGTGTTAATAGTAAGTAGCTTACATTGTATAAATACTGCTATACCTAGCTAATGTAGGAGGAGAAGAGGAAGAGGGAGGTCATGCTTGGGCTGTAGAATGAACTGATGAGGAGACTCCTCTTTGGTTTAGATGGGATTTCAGAGAGAGTTGTCTGAGGTAGGGAGGGTTAATGTGGGCCTGATGGAATTAGGCAAAGAGAGGAACTGGGTTTGACCTGGTCATATCCAAAAGACTGAGAGCAGTGGGGAGATACATTCCCCAGTTTATTTGTTGGATGTATTTTCTTCACCCCAAAGCATCTGAAGGCAGACAAGAAGCAATAGATGGAAACTAATCAAGGAGAGAACTAAACTAGAACTAATAAGACATTTCCTGACAGAACACTTAATCAATGGAACAACTTGCCTCCAGAAGTTATGCCTCCAGAAGGAGGAGGAGGAGGAGGAGGAGGAGGAGGAGGAGGAGGAGGAGGAGGAGGAGGAGGAGGAGGAGGAGGAGGAGGAGGAGAAGAAGAAGAAGAAGAAGAAGAAGAAGAAGAAGAAGAAGAAGAAGGAAAGAAGAAGAAGAAGAAGAAGAAGAAGAAGAAGAAGAAGAAGAAGAAGTCAAAACAACGTTCTGTTCTTGGCTGAGAGTTGTTTTAAATGCTTCAAAAATATAAATTAAGTTTATGGGGCATACAGCATGGTCCAAGGTTATACAAGCAATACTAACCATGTTTTCCTTCAAATAGAGCACTATAGCTATCTAAAAATAGTTCTCTTTTATTAAAAAAAATTCTTTAGCCCTTTTCATTCCACAAGACATTTTACGCAATTCTATTATTACAGAAATAGAAGGGTTTTTATTAAAGCTTGGTTGATTCTGTTGGCATTGGTGGTATTAGAAAGTGGATATTGTAACAGGACATATATACATGTAGGGCATATATGCACGTAGTTCAACCTCAGCAGAATCTGAGATATATTTTTATTACAATATTCACTTTATAACCAAAACGGATGATTATGTAGGTTACTGGAACAACTAGTGAAATGGGAAGGCAGAGCAGAATTGATTAAAAGAACAGATTATTTAAATAAATATGTATTACGAAGAGTGCTCAGGATTTGTTTTCCAGGCTGCATGCAAACTACAGAAACTTTTTGGATAGACTGGAAATCTTGTAGGGTTGATTTTTTTTTTTCCTGAAAGAAGAAAATAAATTGATTTGAGGATTTTTGGATTTGAGGATTAAGAAAAATGTGGAGTAAATAGAGGGTGAGGGTATTTGTAAAATAGATGAGAGAGGAATAATAGGAATGTAATTATCAAGAACAAAGGAGAAATTTCCTGGCAGAGCAATTAATCAGTGAAACAACTAGCCTACAGAAGGTTTTTAAGAAAAGATTGGGCAACCATTTGTCTGAAAGAGTATAGGATTTCCTGCTTGAGCAGGGGGTTGGACTAGAAGACCTCCAAGATCCCTTCCAACTCTGTTATTCTGTTGAAAAGAAGGCTGGAAATCACTTACATATTTCTTAAATTTAGTTTCCTTTTTCTTTCTTGCCTTTTCTTTTCTTTTCCTTTTGGTTTATCTTTTACCATATGAAAACTCTTAATAAATATAAATAAAAGGATTTGTTTGACTGTCTGATGTCCCTAATGTCAGAAGGATTTTTTTCTTGGAAATATTTTTTCATGGAACTGGGGTGTGTGGGGATTTTAAAATGTAAATTAAGTACATTTCACCCTCTCTGCTAAATTAAGAACGGTTGTAAATATTGAATGCACCCCCCTTAACCAACCCTTGTACCATAATCTTATAATGCATTTTTCCTTGGGTTTTAAAGGTTGAGGTCAAAAGCAATAAATCTTGCTTTCTCATTAAGATTTTTGTAGTAATTATGTCTGCTTCCCTCATGCAGTATATAATGGAGGTTTTATTACTGCGTTATTGATTTATTTCTCTTTGTAATTCTGTTAAACTAATATACCAGCTGGACTCCAAACTGATACCAGAACAATAATATCCATTTGATTATCTAGTAAGACATCTGTAGACCCCCAAG